ATTGTAATAAGCTGTGATTTAAATAATGACTGGTTTATGAACGGCAATATCTCCTCTCCAGATAGATGTTACGGTGAATCGACGATATAACATGTGCTTATGTTAATTATTGTGAACCTAAACATATAACAGGCAGTAGAGATAAACATGTAGCACCTTAACATGCATAAGTCTAGAAATAGTGACGTCCACTATTGCAAATTTGAGCTCATGACGAATGGGTCTAAATTACTTCGAAACAACGAGTTGAATCAAACTCACTGTTTCGCCGTAATGTATATGACCACATTTGCGTATCTTTTTTTTGTTTGTTATCAAAGTTAAAAAGAAAAATGTTTTTTTGGACACAACTGACATTATTAACCCGATGTTTTCTTCGACACAACTGACATTATTAACCTGCAAATCAAGACTCATTTTTCATTGAACTAGATCCCGTCAACCACATGCCTAATTGAATCTATCATTCCTCTCCCCTTCAATGGAAGTCTCCTCGGTAGTGAAGACAAAAAAAAAAAGAGAAATAATAAGACGCGGAGTCAAACATACATAGTTGGGTTGTTAAAATAGTATAATTGAAGACTTTGTTGACGACGGGAATGATTTCCAACTGATATTGCAAAGCTGCCAGATAATTTTAGGGCCCTAAAAAACATGGTGCCGGGTCAAACGAGTTAAAGAGAAATAATAAATGGGGACTTTTGGGGATTGTGGAGGAGAATTTCGAAACATAAGAGAGAGTTCGTAGGTTGCTTCCAATTTCTCACTTCGGACTAATTGTGTGTTTCATTATAATTTTTCTCGCATCTGTCTGTTCATGCATGTTGCATTGCCTTCATTCAACTCAAAAAAAAAAAATATATATATAAATATAAAAAAAATAAAAATAAAAATAAACGCGTGAGTAAGCATTTGGCAAAGCACAGGAAACGTAAAGGCAAATTCTGGAGTGTCTCCTTTAATCATGCTTACACTCGTATTTAATTAACACTTCACTTTTATTTAAATCTTATTATGCTTTGGTAAAAGAAAAAGGTGAAACAGTGAAAAAGAGAGTTGAAGGTGTAAGTAAAACGCTGGGAAAAAAGGAAACATTCAGATGAGGTAAATATAAAAATCACTTTAAATTATTCGAGTGCAAGATTTGGAGACAAAAAATCCACATAAATTAGAACAATCTAGTCAAGTAAAAATTAGTCCATCCTATCTTAGTAACCGAGCCGGCCATTTTTATAGGATACGTTCAAACTTTCTTCTCTTTGAATAAAAACGAATGAAACTTTACTTAAATCTTATTATGTATAAAATCTCTTGATTCTAATTACATGTATTCAGAATCGCAAATTAAATAGAGTGAATCTTGAAGTTTTTCTTGTTACTATAACAAAATTTACCAAAGTTGGAATAAGATTGGGAAAGGGGAAGGGAGGTAAATCCTATCAAGCCCCCTTACTCAGAGGTCAATAATTATAAGATTGATATCTATTAATTGTAATGGAGGGGAAGACCATGGGGGTAACATGCTGGTTGCCGAGAGAGACAACAAAGGCAAAAAAGAGAAAAAAAAAAAAAAAAAAAAAGGAAAAAAAAAAGGAGAAAGAATATGAAGCCAGCCAATATAGCCTAGCCTTCTCCTTTGTCTTTTACATTGGGTTTTTGCCTTTGTATATGTTTATATAACTCAAAAAACTCTTGCTGGCTCTCAGAGGGAGGTGAGTGACTTCTGCAGCCTGCAACTCTGTCTGCTTTGGTTGTCCACCTCTCTTCATATTGTTGCATAAACAAAGAAAAAAAAAAACAGAAAACGGTTTGTTGATTTGAGCTTGGATCTGAGAAAAAAAATGGAGAAGGAAAAGAAGTCTCCAGTTTCTGATGTAGGAGCATGGGGTATGAATATTGTGAGCTCTGTGGGCATTATCATGGCCAACAAGCAGCTCATGTCCCCTCACGGCTTTGCTTTTGGCTTTGGTCAGTTCCTCTTCTTCTTCTTCTGTAATTTTGACTATATTGAGACTGCATCAATTTGCTCTGTTTGCTCTATCTTCTTCTTCCAACTTCAGATCTGGAGTAGAAATATCTTCTGATGGGTTTATAGTATTTTCCTTGTTTTCTTTCAATGAATTTTGGGTTTCCTTTATCTTCCTTGAATTGTTCTTCATCAGTTTTATCTGATTTTATGACCCAAATTGGGGTAAAGAGCATTGAATTGTTGCAGATGCTATAATCCTGAGGATGAACCGCATTGAATTATTATTTTTGGACTCATGTTTGACAAGGAGCCAAAATTCAACTAGATTTCAATATAATATGACGTGCGCTTGGACCATTGTTTGCCACTTATGGCATTTACTGTTATGGCTAGCCTTTTCTGACCAGAGGTTCGGATCTAGAGAGAAATGAGAGGGTTTGAGTCTCCATTGGTCTGCCCATTAACTCGGCTGAGGCTGGGGCAAAGTACCTAGGGTGAGGTGCAAAGTAGATAAGGTGGGGGGCAAAGTGTTTGTTAAAATGCCTCAAAGAACTTAGGCAAGCAAGCAGCTGGTAGTCGGGCGATGTGGGCTTTTTCTCCTGGATCCTTCAGTGTCTGTCATCATTCCCTGTAGATCTAGCTACATTTTAAAAGAAATTAGGATTTCGTATAATTATGCTTGGATTATGACCTAGATTTGTAAGGTGATCTCATTAGATGTGTTTGCAAGACCGTAATTGAACTCTTTGGTAAATCGGTTTCCTGCAATTCATGATAGTATATTTTTCTCTCCAGCCACAACTTTGACCGGCTTCCACTTCTCTGTTACCGCGTTGGTTGGTCTGGTGTCAAATGCCACTGGTTACTCTGCATCAAAGCATGTTCCTTTGTGGGAACTTGTTTGGTTCTCTCTTGTAGCCAATGCTTCAATCACTGGGATGAACTTGAGTCTCATGCTCAACTCTGTTGGCTTTTATCAGGTGAATATCATTCTGTTAGCATGACCATTTCCTTTGCCGCACAATTACCTTCTCAGATCTGACCTTGTTCATTGGTATTATGGTGTAGATATCGAAGCTGAGCATGATTCCCGTGGTATGCATGATGGAATGGATTATTCATGGAAAACATTTTTCAAGGGAGGTCAAGATGGCTGTGGCAGTGGTGGTTGTAGGTGTGGGAATATGTACAGTGACTGACGTGAAAGTTAATGCCAAAGGTTTCCTCTGTGCTTGTGTGGCTATCTTGTGTACATCCTTACAACAAATTGTGAGCATTTCTCAATTTTCTCCTTCTTATAAGTTATATATACTATGAATCTGAGATCAGGCATAAAAACCTTGAGATAATTGTTCGTCTCTGACATTCTTGTTGTTTGAGGAACAGTCAATAGGTTCCTTACAGAAGAAATACTCAATAGGCTCTTTCGAATTGCTTAGCAAGACAGCCCCAATCCAAGCTCTCTCCCTTCTTGTTCTTGGTCCATTCGTTGATTACTTTCTTACTGGAAAACTTATATCAGAGTACAAGTTGTCTTCTGGTGCATTTGTAAGTGCGTCTTCTTTTATCTGAACTGCAATTGCCGTGTTTATGAGGAAACAAATTTCTAATGAAGCTTCTGTCCAATTGCAGTTTTTCATACTACTCTCATGCTCCCTAGCCGTATTTTGCAACATCAGTCAGTACCTCTGCATCGGCCGCTTCTCAGCAGTCTCGTTCCAGGTTTTAGGCCACATGAAAACAGTATGTGTCCTGACATTGGGGTGGCTACTCTTTGATTCAGAGCTCACATTCAAAAACTTGCTCGGAATGGCTCTTGCGGTTCTTGGCATGATAGTATACAGTTGGGCTGTGGAGGCTGAGAAGCAACCCAAGATCCTCCCTAGTACAAGAGACAGTCTGTCAGAGGAGGACCTGAAACCATTGAAGGAGGGAATAGCAGAGAGTCCATTGAAAGACACAGAGCTTGGCGAGTCTAAAGTATAGACTTACCATAGGGAAAAAAGCTTTTTCTTGGACTCATCTTATGCCCCTGCAAGATATGAGAAAGTACATGTTTTGACATTCATCTGCTCATGCAGCAGAGTCTTACAATCTAATTCTATTTATTCACAAAATATGTTCAATTTTTTTAAATATCTATTTATTTTGTCAGAAAGCAATTAATAATGAATTTTAGGTTGAACCAGTTGTTGATGGTTGTAAAATATTTGTATATCCATTTCAGTGTTGAGAAAAAGTACAATTAATTAATGCTTTATTTATTTTTTCATTGTGTTGTAGGCTTGTAGCCAATATTTGGAGTAATATTAGTGAATGGGTGGAAATGCATTGTGTTTTAGACCTTTTGTTTTATCCAATTATTATTCGGTGGATATTTATATATACTGTGTGCATTAACAATATTTTCCATGTTAGAAATCAGCAAAACCATTCTTTTCTTTCCCACACTTTCCTCGTTACAAGTAAGTATAATTCTTTTTTTTTATATAAAGGGAAAATTGCATAACCGCCATTTTCGGTTGAACTATATAAAGACTTTCTATAAAAATTAATTTGGTAGATCTACTTGAGAAGACAATAAGTTTTGTAACTAGGGGCTTAAAATATGAATCACTTGAGATTAGTAACATAGACATAGAGGTAATGAGTTACGATTAAGATACGATTAGGTTCGGTTTTCTCTAAGGTACCGTTAAACGTTAGTAAAAACTAACTGTTAACTATAAAACAATTCGGAAACACCAAACAAGTGATTGTGCGGTCCACAAACTTGAGATACATAAAAAAAAAAATTATTAAAAAAAAAGAAAAGAAAAAAAAAACTCCACAATCGGGTTAGGTAAAACTAGAAACATGACATGAAATGATTCCCAATTAGGCCCAAAAGTTTTCAAGACCTAATATTATTACAGAGATTGAATTTTTATTTTTATTTTTAAAATTTTTTGCTAAGAAAAAGGAAATTACAAGTTCTTTCCTCTTCTGTATGCAAAATCAATTAATTGTCTTTTTCCCTTCCGCTTCAGACCCTTTTTGAGATCCCAATATAACTTTTACTATGTGTGATTATGGAAGAGTAACATATTATTGATCAAAGAATTCATGCGTTTTTGTTTTGTATTCGTTTAACGCCTTTGAGAAATTCCACCCAAATCTGCAGAGCCTTGGCATTCTGTCTGCTCTGGTTGATTGGCTTGGAATTTGTAAAAAATGGAGAAGGAGAAGAAGTCTTCAGTGTCTGATGTAGGAGCGTGGGGCATGAATATTGTGAGCTCTGTGGGAATTATCATGGCCAACAAGCAGCTCATGTCCCCCCATGGCTTTGGCTTTGGCTTTGGTAAGTTCCTCTTCTTCTTCTTCTTTTAACTGTACTGTGTTTTCTTTTAATTTCAGATCTGAAGTAGACATCTTTTTTTCATAATTCATATTCACTTCTTCTCACCATTGATGGGTTTAAAGTATTTTGCTTTGTTATGAATTTTGGGTTCCGTTTCCAACCCTGAATATTGGGTTCCTCTCTAATTTCCTGAGTTCATTTTCGTCTGTTTTGTCTAATTTTATGACCTGAATTGGGGTACAGTTCCATTCTTGCAGATGCCATATATTTTTTTGTTTTTTTAAAATGTATTTTTAATTTATTGTTTCTGACATAAGGAGCCAAAATTCAACTAGATTCCAATATAATAATATCCCATGTGCGCTTGGACCATTATTTGCCACTCATGGAATTTTCTGTCATGCGTATAGCCCTTTTTTTGACCTCTCATCATTGCCTGTAGATCTAAGCTACATTTCAAAAGAAATTAAAATTCAACATAATTAGGCTTGGATTATGACCTGATGCATATGGTGATCTCATTAAAGGTGTTTGCAAGCAAAAAAAACTTACTTGTAACGAGGAAAAGTAATCGTATGTGTCATTGTGTTTTTGGCAGGGGATGACAAAAATTGTTATCCCCATTTCGCGAGAGTTTCTCTCGTTTGCAAGAGCATGCCTATGTCACAACACACAGATAAACTGAATTATTTGGTAAATTGATTTCCTGCAAATTGATGAAAGTGTATTTTTTTTACTCCAGCTACAACTTTGACTGGCTTCCATTTCTCTGTTACTGCATTGGTTGGTTTGGTGTCAAATGCCACTGGCTACTCTGCTTCAAAGCATGTTCCTTTGTGGGAACTTGTTTGGTTCTCACTTGTAGCCAATGCCTCAATCACTGGGATGAACTTGAGCCTCATGCTTAACTCTGTTGGATTTTATCAGGTGAATAACATTTTAATAGCCTAACCATTTTGCTTGAGGCAGAGTTGCCATCTGAGTTCAGACCTTGTTCTATGGTATTATCGTGTAGATATCGAAGTTGAGCATGATTCCCGTGGTATGTGTGCTGGAATGGATTCTTCATGGGAAACATTTTGCAAGGGAAGTCAAGTTGGCTGTGGGAGTGGTGGTTGTAGGTGTGGGAATATGTACAGTGACTGACGTGAAAGTTAATGCCAAAGGTTTCCTCTGTGCTTGTGTGGCTATCTTGTGTACATCCTTGCAACAAATTGTGAGCACTACTTAATTTTTCTCATAAAAATCTGAGGGTAGGCATAAAAACCTTGAAATAATGGTTGACCTCTTACATTCTTGTTGTTTGAGGAACAGTCAATAGGTTCCTTGCAGAAGAAGTATTCGATAGGCTCTTTTGAATTGCTCAGCAAGACAGCTCCAATACAAGCTCTCTCGCTTCTTGTTTTTGGTCCGTTCTTCGATTATTATCTTACTGGAAAAGTTCTATTGGAGTATAAGTTGTCTTCTAGTGCACTTGTAAGTGCTTCTTATGTATATTAATTTGCAATTTCTGAGTTTGTAGAAACAAAATTCTAATGAAGCTTTTGTGGAATGCAGTTTTTCATACTACTCTCCTGCTCCTTAGCAGTATTCTGCAACATCAGCCAGTACCTCTGCATCGGACGTTTCTCAGCTGTCTCATTCCAGGTTTTAGGTCACATGAAAACAGTGTGTATCCTGACGTTGGGGTGGCTACTTTTTGATTCGGAGCTCACACTGAAAAACTTGCTTGGAATGGCTCTTGCTGTTCTTGGCATGGTAGTATACAGTTGGGCTGTGGAGCAACCCAAGACCCTCCCTATTACAAGAGACAGTCTGTCAGAAGAGGATCTGAAACCATTGAAGGAGGGAATGACAGAGAGTCCATTGAACGACGCGGAGCTTCGCGAGTCTAAAGTGTAGACTCACCATTATCGGACTCAATTTGTTTTACCTTCATTCCATGCCCTAGCAAGATATGAGATAAGCACAGGTTTTGGCATTCATCTGTTCATTCGGCACAGGCTTTCCGTCATCTGATTCTATTTTTTCACGAAATATGCTCAATTTTTGGTCTCTATTTATTTGTCTGAAAGGAATTAATAATGAAGTTTAGGCTGAACCAGTTGTTGATGGTTGTAGAATACTTGTATATGCATTTCAGTATCAGTACTGAGAAAAAGTTCAATTAATGAAGGATTTATTTCTTTTTTCACTTTAGGAAAACCATTTCCCTCCCTTTTCCCACGTTTTCTCGTTCACCAAACAAGTTGATTCTGTGAAGATACTGGGGCCATTGCCACTGACAATATAATATTTCTGCCAACTTAAAGATGAAAACTGACCTAATCAATTGTACACTTGCTAGTCTTCGCCCTTTAACATGAGTTCGTCACTGGTCAGTGTCCAATTAGTTATGAAATTTGCCTTACACTCAGCTGTCTAAATTCTTTATTGGTCTAAAGTAACAAATAAATAAATAAACAAATAAAAGAGTCTCACTGTTATTATTTTATCACTTTGTCAAAATCACTTTGCGGCATTTTTTTTTTGGGAAATCACTTTGCGGCTTTGCTTGCAGTCGCATTGTTGATCACATCTCTTAATAAACACAAAAAAGATAAGAAGATAAATCCGTGTGGAAGTCATTTAAATAAATAGATTTAAGAGAAATGTAATGTGGTGTACAAATCAAAGTTACATGCCATTTGTATCCATGGCATGTTTTTGGTGTCGAGTAGAAAAGCTTATTTGTGAAAATGGGAATTGCCCATTTCATCTGCACTGATGGTGCCCCTTTCTGGATGCTCATTTAGTTGTGAAATCACCATTATTGGTGAGAGAATATTGCAAGAAAGAAACACTATCTCTATCCTCTACAACATCTGCATGGGCTCTTAGCTTGATACAAGAAAAGACAGAGGAACTTGCTAAGGTACAGGGGTAAGTGTATGTATTTCTTTCATGCTGTTCATTAGAAAAACAACTTTGCAACTTGCTATTTCTTGCTTGCTTAACCTAATCTCAGAGAAAGAGTAATTAAAAATAGAAATTTGATTATGATATCTAATCCAATTACTTCAACCTTTTACAAGAAATGTACTAGATTCATGCACTGAAAAGTTGCAATGGAGAACAAGTAAGGCTAGAGTTACATTCCACTTTCAATCAACAGGGAAGAAAGAGACAACGATGAAGTGGATAGCAAGTTTAGATTTTAGATTTGTCAACTTCTGAAAAGAGATAAAAACGTGCACAGAGAGAAAGGTATGAATTGATGAGAGATTGAGCAGGAAGCTTTTAAGAGATAAAGTATCCAAAAAGAATTGGAATGATTTCTTATCAGATATCTCGACATACTATGTTGTCAAACTGTAAATCGTAACTGCATGTTATACGTTATTCGATATAATCTGAGGTCCTAATAATCGTAGTGTGTGAATATAACATGTTAAATTACTGACAAGAAAAACTGACCATATCTAAACACAATAATAAGGGATTATGTACGCAAATATTACTCTGCATATTGCTTTTTTTTTTGTTTTTTTTTTGTGATGAGATTCTCCATAGTGAAAAGGTGGACAAATAAATGTCAACAAGGGGTTTTAATAATCCCTATCCCAATTGTACTTAAATTCGATTCATGATCATTAACATGTAATATTTAATAATTATTAGGAGATGAGTGAGGGTAACATGCTGGTTGCTGAGAGGGAGACAGCAAAAGCGAAAGAAAGCAATATGAAGCCTGCAGGCAATATCATATGCCAGCCTTCCCTTTTCATGATTTATAGTGCATGTTTTGCCTGTATTTGTTATAAAAACTCAAACCCTACTCCACTTGGGCTCTGAGGGAGGTCATTAAGTGAGAAGTGCTGCACTAAAAGTAATTAAAAAAAATTAAGCATCTTGAGTGGTGGATGATCAGCTTGGATATCAAGTTTAAATGGAGATCAAGGAGAGAAAATCGCCGTTTACGGTATGTAATGTAGGAGCATGGAGCATGACCGTTGTGAGCTCGGTGGGGATTATCATGGCCGACAGGCAGCTCATGTCCCCTCAAGGCTTTGCCTTCGCCTTTGGTCGGTTCTACATCCTCTTCTTCTTTAACAACATGGAATGAGTTTGTGTCCTACAACATGATTATAAAACCTTTAAATAGCTTCATTGTTTAATTATGCTATAGCTTTCTTTTTGGTACAACAAATGCACTTTGATTGATCCCTCTGGTGGTTCACATCATCATATTACATGTGCATGGAGAGGTCTATAAGAAGTTATTAAAACATTTTGAACCCTATAATCAGCTAATCAAATTAAAATGATGTGTTATTTGACAACCGATCATAATAATTGATGTAATGAGTAGACATCGGCGTATACTGTAACACTACTCAAAGAGGATCACTAATGGCCGCAGTACAAGTGGACTACAAAACACCATTTTATAAGATGAACTCCTTAATTTTTTTTGCTATTATGTGATAAACATGATTGAGTCTTTTTGGTAATTAAAATGGTTTGCTGCAATTGATGTTGGTGTATTCTTTGCAGCTACAACGTTGTCTAGCTTCCACTATTCTCTGACCGCATTGGTGTGTTTGGTGTCAAATGCCGTTGGTTACTCTGCATCAACGCATGTAATTCCTCTGTGGGAGCTTATTCTGTTCTCAGTTGTAGCCAATGCCTCAATCATTGCAATGAACTTCAGCCTCATACTAAACTCTCCAGGATTTTTTCAGGTGCATATCATTTTTGGTCCTAAATTACACCTTCTTAATTGGTAGAGGCGAATGCTAAGGACAATTGTTCACACGCGCATGGACGATTGTAAGCCATTATTAATTATCGGAGGTTCTAATTGTAATTGGCAATCGTTATTATGATGCAGATATCTAGGTTAAGCATGGTGCCTGTGGTATGTGTGATGGAATGGATTCTTCATGGAAAACAATTTTCAAGGGGGGCAAAGATGGCTGTGGTAATGGTGATTGTAGGTGTGAGTATCAGTACAGTGACTGATGTGAAAGTTAATGCTAAAGGTTTCCTCTGTGCTTGTGTGGCTGTCTTGTGTACATCCTTACACCAAATTGTGTGTATCAATTACTCAAATTCCTCCTTCATTTGGATTATTAGTTTACTAAGAATGTGACACTAACTTGGTTTTTTTTTTTTTCCTTTGAGGAACAGTTAATAGGGTCTTTACAGAAGAAATACTCAATAGGGTCTTTCGAATTGCTCACCAAGACGACTCCAATGCAAGCTCTCTCCCTTCTTTTTCTTTGTCCATTCATCGATTTCTATCTCACCGGCAAACATCTATCAAACTATAAGTTCTCTTCTGGTGCATTTGTAAGTCAAGCCGATGCTTCTTATGTTTTGTCCCTTAAGTTTCATTTGCAGCACATCTGATCTTTAATCTCTAAAAGTGCTTTCGTGAATGTGTTTGCAGATTTTCTTGCTACTTTCATGCTCAATAGCAGTGTTTTGCAAAGTCAGCCTGTACCTCTGCATCGGGCGGTTCTCAGCATCCTCATTCCAGGTTTTAGGCCACATGAAAACCATATGTGTCATGACATTGGCGTGGCTACTCTTTGATTCAAAGCTCAGCCTTAAAAACTTTCTTGGGATGGCTCTTGCTGCTATGGGCATGATAGCTTACACTTGGGCTGTGGAGGCTGAGAAAGGTGCTACTAATTCCAAGAGCCACCGTAATACAAAAGACAAAATTTCAGGAGAGGTTATGAAACCATTGACTTCCATATAGGTTTCCATTTGCCGAGGGCAAAAATTATTTTATGGGACTATTTACCTTTCATTCTTTGCCATGACAGGAAATGAGATAAGCACAGGCTTTTAATCAGCTAATTTTATTTATTTAAAGCAAATGTTGTGTGTTTCTCTACTGATTTTGGGCAGACAGTAAAAACTATGATGTTTTAGGCTGAATTGGTTATTGATGGTTGTAAAAATTTGTATATATTTATATTCTTGAGGAAAGAGGCACAATGGTTTTCTCCATTTAGTGAGTTGTACTATTTGGATGAGTGACGGTTGATACTTTCTACATGGAAAAGAACCCAGCTTTCTTTTTTTCGGCAGTTGGTTTTTGAATATCTTACAAGAAAAAAAAACTAACAAAACCGATATCAGATCCAAAATTATGTCGAGATATAAATATTCGAATTTGAAACATCTGTAAATATTAGGAAGAAAAATGTGATTATTAGTTATTCGAAAGTATAATTATTTCTCCATTTAATTATTTTTCTAACATAAAAGAGTAAAATCAGTAAAATCACCACAATAAAAATAATATTAAAAGTGAGAAGAATGTTATTTTCTAAGAATAATAATTTATTTTATGAGAGGTTTATCCATTTGTTATCGTACTTGGACTGAACAGCTAGCTAGCTCCACTGTCTAGCTAATGGGAGGTTTGGACTGTATATGGCGTTTCCCCAACACCCAGTTTCATTGCCATTTGCGTCCCCTGGCCTCTCCTCCTCCATCTTCACCATCGCTGAGAAAAACCTTCCTTTTATTCTCTCCTTCATCAAACACCAAAATCAGCAGCAACAGCAGAAATGCTGGAACTGTTGCCTACACAGCAAACACTAGAACCAGAAGGCGTAGCAAAAATGGCAGAGCTCTCACTCTCAGACCTCCTCTCTCCCTCCCTCAAAATCAAAAATCCCAACAACAGCAACAACAACAAGACGATGATGACGAAGAAGAAGATGAAGATGAAGAAGAAAAGATAGCCCAAGGCCGTGGCCGTGGGAACTGGACAATAGTGTTGTCGTCGAGCTTAGTGGGTCTGCTCACTGGAATTGGTGTCGTGCTCTTTAATTACGCTGTATGTTTTAGTTTACCCATTACCCATTTTTTCTTTTTTGCTTTTCATGCTTGCTTGCTTACAAAGTTTTGAGCTTTATCTGAGATTGCAAAGTTTTAAGTTTTATCTGAGATTTTGATATGAATGTTAAGGTTCATGAGATACGTGATGTGTTCTGGGATGGGATACCACAACGAGGAGCTTCGTGGCTCAGAGAGGAGCCAATGGGAGATATGTGGAAGCGAGTGATTCTGGTTCCAGCTTCTGGGGGTTTGATCGTAGCCATGTTAAATGTGCTTCGAGGTGCTCTGGATGATGGTTCAGAAGATAATAAAAATGGCAATGAGCAAGGAGAGGAAGAAAAAGAAAGTTTATTGGTGAAAATGGGAATGCCCATTTCGGTTTTTCATAGTCTCAAGGCTGCATCGCATCCATTTCTCAAGGCAGTTGCTGCTGGTGTCACTCTTGGGACTGGGAATTCATTAGGTCCTGAAGGTCCTAGCGTTGAGATTGGAACTTCTATAGCAAAGGGTGTTGGTGCTGTATTTGGTAAAAGTTCACAAAGAAGCCTCTCTCTTGTGGCTGCTGGATCAGCTGCTGGAATTGCTTCTGGTGGGTATTCGTTTTTATGTTTCTCCATGCTGCCAGTTATTAATATATGTTTGCTCTCAATGTAATTGTTCTTCTGTCTTTTTTCAGGGTTTAATGCTGCTGTTTCTGGTTGTTTCTTTGCCGTTGAGTCAGTCCTTTGGCCATCACCATCAGATTCCTCATCTATTTCACTAACAAATACCACATCTATGGTCATACTTAGTGCTGTGATAGCTTCTGTAGTTACAGAAGTTGGTCTTGGCTCTGAGCCAGCCTTTAAGGTCCCATACTATGACTTCCGCTCACCTACAGGTATACTATCGATTATCTGTTTCACTCTTGAAAATGTTATAGATAAATTTCTGCACCCTCGAGTGAACAAAAACTGGTGCTTTTGATTTGAATAATTTCTTCTGCTGACTATTGCATTACTACATAATCTATGAGTATTTCTTGTTCCTAGTAATGTGATTTTCCTTTTCCAAATATGGTTTGTAAGTTTACCCTATTATTTGTTACAACACTAGGTTATTCACTCTACTGGGATGAATTTTTTCAGGCATACCTTTAGTATATCTAGAGATAGATGTTCAAATTATTATTTAAAAGGTGCGGTTTTAACAGTGAGACGTATTCAAATCATTTTCAGAGCTTCCGCTATATCTCTTGCTGGGTGTCCTTTGCGGCTTGGTTTCGCTAACCTTATCAAAGTGCACATCATACATGTTGGGATTTGTTGACAATCTTCACAAGACTATTGGCGTACCAAGATTTTTGTTCCCTATACTGGGTGGCTTAGCAGTCGGGCTTATAGCATTGGCATATCCTGAAATTCTTTACTGGGGTTTTGAGAATGTTGACATTTTGCTGGAATCTCGACCACTTGTGAAAGGCCTCTCAGCTGATCTATTGCTTCAGCTGGTAGTGGTCAAGATAGGTGCAACCTCTTTGTGCCGGGCGTCTGGATTGGTGGGTGGCTACTATGCTCCATCACTTTTTATTGGTGCAGCAACAGGAATGGCATATGGGAAAGTCATCAGTTCTGCAGTTGCTCAGTCCAATCCTATACTTCATCTCTCCATATTGGAAGTAGCATCACCGCGAGCATATGGCCTGGTATGCTCTATGCCACTTTTGCATCTAGAAGATAGTTTGCCTTCAAATTTCTGGCAATGGTCAACTCGCTTTGTTTTTTTTTGGGTATATGAATTCTGTTTTGATATTTCTGAGAACAAAAATCACATTCGAATTAGGAGATCACTTTATGTAGTTAACTAGAAACCTACAATATTAGCCATCGCCTTCAGGGGCAAAAACCTTTTTCTTTGCAGCAGTAGGTTTTGTGTGTCCTGCTTTTTTATTAGAAGGTTAAAGTCAGTTGTCTAGTTGGTTCTAAATTGTCAAATGGTTTTGAAAATTGACATGGACGGTACATGAGATAACTTTTCATTGTAGTACTATGTAATAATTAAGACAGAACAGCCTAACTTTCTGTGTGAATATATTGTTTCTCTGTTTGGAATTCTCTGCTGAAATTTGACGATATAACGGGTAGTCAAAATCAGGTTGTGGTTGACCATTGGAGAGGTTCCTTTTACAGGTTGGAATGGCTGCTACTCTTGCAGGAGTCTGTCAGGTACCCCTTACGTCAGTTCTGCTGCTTTTCGAATTGACACAAGATTATCGAATTGTTCTTCCGCTACTTGGAGCTGTGGGGTTATCTTCATGGATCACATCTGGACAGACAAGGAGAAAAAAAGATAGCTGGAAGAAACTCAATCAGGGAAAAACTAGTAGCTTTCAACAACCTGAAGTACCTTCCCCTAGTGCAAGTGGGGTATCTTCTAGTAATGCTTTCACTGAAAGGACGTCTAACGCAAGTGACCTTTGTGAAATTGAAAGTTCACTCTGTATAGATGATTCTAATATTGACACTGAAAAGTTGGAAAAGAGAATATTCGTTTCTGAAGCCATGAGGACGAGATATGTGACTGTTTTAATGGACACTTTGCTTACAGAAGCAGTGACTCTCATGCTTGCAGAGAAGCAGCCCTGTGCTATGATAGTTGATAATGATCATATTCTAATTGGTTTACTGACACTTAAAGACATTCAAGAGTACAGCAATAAATATGCACAATCAAGAAGACAGAGACCCAAGGTAATGGATTATTTTCTTGCTGAACTACTGCTAATTTTTTACGTTTTTGTGGCCCTGTGAGCTTGAATGACTGGTGGTACTGTTACAGGAGCTTATAGTATCTGAAATGTGTTCTTTGAATGGGGAAGTATGCCAAGCTCCATGGACTGCTACACCCAGTATGAATCTACTTTCAGCTCAGAATATTATGAATAGGTATGGAATGAATCAAATTCCAGTAGTTACAGAGCATGTTCAAGATCACAGAGGGCACCTAGTTGGCCTTTTAGACAGAGAATGTATCAGTCTCACTTGCAGGTACCAACATTTTTCTTTGCCGTTATAGACTTTCTCATTTATTTGCTTCAGTTTTGCATTACTATTTGCGTACGGAGGATTGCATTAAAATCAAAGTTTGACATAGAAATTCTCATTGGTTTGCTAATTTTCTGATTTTGTACTTGTTTTTTTCCTTTGGTGGTTGCAGAGCTCTAGCAACCAGAGAATCCCTTGGCTGGTAGTAACCAATACTGGATGGCTTGATTTGTTGATAAACCAGAATACCTGACATCATATTTATCTTTCAGTCTTTAGTAATACAGTCTCAGGACTCTCAAACTTAGCCTGGACAGATACAACTCAGGTGAATCTCAGATTGCTGCCTTCGACCACCCCGTGCCACACTCAACTTAGTCTTTCGTTTGCTACTCAGCCACTGAAAAGGGCTCGAAGTCAGAAATCTAAGATAAGTCAGGTTGTACTGACTGGACACGTACAAATATACATACAACTGATGGAAATACTAGTGACAATATTCATGAGAAGAAAAACTAAGTCATTGGAACAGATACTGTCAAAATTGGATTTTCCCTTTTACCAATTTGCCTTGTAATTTAGACTTACTGGCTTTGTTCCAATAACGTACATGTTGTTCAGGTTTTCTTCTTGGCCGTCAGGCGATTGTTATATCACTCCAATTGTCAATAAAAAGTGAAAATTCTTTTGAGTAAAGGTAATTGAAATGGCATTTCTTGACATAAATATGGTTTTATGGTACAATAATACGATTGCTGTTCCATGCCTTCCTCTCAATTCAACAATTAAAAATGCATCTACAAGTACAAGAGGCCAAATTTGGATACAAGTTCATTTCCAATTGCTACCCTAATCTGGACTCATCCATAAATCAAGCCTAAATTTAGAATGACTTTGCTCATGATAATTGACCAAAAAAAGAAAATTGGTCATGTTAACGTTTATATCTGATCAGCAGGCTTATTCAGAGTCTCTTGTTCAACCTTCACACTCGGTTCATCTGCGGACCCAGAGCCCATATCCAAAGCCTGCAAATGTAAATGCCGACAGGAAAAACCATTAGTTCATGAGCATTTTTATATCAAGTGTGTCCTGCTTTTGTCTGTGGACTTGTGTGTTTAACTTCACCTTTGCGCCTGTTGTAATCTCTTCTACTGCTGGATCATAGCCTGAGCCTCTAGCATTCTCTGTGCTTCCTTTCTGGCTCCCCAGTACACCATGCCAACCAGAAATACAAATTGGTGAGGCAAATAAACACAAAAAATAGGATCTAAACAGTTCAATGTTGTGAATCTACAATCCCATCATTTATCAAGTACAAATGCAGAAAGAATATGACATATGTTGTCATACAAGAGGATATAAGCCACATGCATATGTAAATTTTGAAATGTAGCACAACAAATGATATGAGCACATCACAAGAACGTAGTTGTGCTATGTGCAGGACATAAACATATAAGCATAAACAGAAAAGGAAACACACGGTCATGCTACGTCATCTTGAACATGGTCATACTTCTCATTCAAAAAAGATAAAAAAGGAACAGTACTAATCCAGTGTAGGCTTCACATAACAGCATATCGGAAACAGGATAATAAAGGGAAGAAAAAGAAACACTACTAAGAGACAAGATTTCCTCATGTTTCTTTGCCATGAGTGAAAAGTCTAGCCACTTGTCCGTCATCAAAGACAATGAGCACAATTTACTATGCATAGGAATATTCATGACTAGACAAATGAATTGATTGCCCGATTTCACTGAATTATAGTTTATACACTTCCGCACCCAATTTACAAAAAAGTTTGTGAGATGGTTTGTAGCATACCGGATCCTTAACCTCAGTTTCAACGATCTCTTTCTTTACTCTGCTTGATAACGGCTTACTGTATAAAACCATAAATCAGAATATTGCAAAGATGAAAGTGCAAGATAATGATAGTAAATTAAGAGAAGAAATTAAAATACCGTTCATCATCAACATCCATATCAGAATCCGCATCCCACCTCTCATCTCCATCATCCTGATCTTCATCCGCCTACAAGATTTTTAACAAAAAATAATTTCAAATACTGATTACAAGCCTATAAAAGTATTAACCAGATAACAACTCAAATTAGATTAATGTGAACTAGCAAGCTACATTCATTATACAAAGATTGAAGAATAGTAAGAAAGATGGGAGCTTTGCGGCAACTTTTTCCTTTGGATCATCAAGTATTCTATCACTTAAGCAACAATAAATGCCGCATTAGAGGAAGGAGAGGGAAAATATATTAATGTCAAAATGTCAGCTTGATGACTATTAAGAAAAGAATAATTTCGGAGTCTTGTGCTTAGGAAGAATTTCTCTTTGGAGTCAACAGGAGCACCAGTTCCAGCTTGTTCTGTGATTTTAAGCTGGAGAACAACATTTTTCTACTATAAGCTACTTATTTAGACATTATACAAATGAAACCCTCATTCACTTAGCTGTATCATGTAAAATGAGAACAAAGAACAATAATTTGCTATGATAAGTCAAACAAATCAATACAGAAGAATATGTTTCAATAAGATGACTATTAAGTTTTGACGAATATGGAAGATATGGAATTAGTTCAGAAAAAAAAAAAAAAAAATTTGTTGCACAAAAGTACCTCTGGAAGCTCAGTATCAGGAGGTCTTTCATGAAATTGGACACTGGGTGCATGCTGAAGCCTGGAGAGGTTTTCAAGAAGCTTAGATCGTATTTCTTCTAGTAACACATGAGAATTCTTATTTTCCATGTTACTAGGGGCAACATGAAGAGTATAATCTGGGCCAAAATACTCATAATACTCATGCTGTGGCATTTTGTCCTCAATTTCTGCTCCAAGTGCAACTCCCGTCTGTTTTACAAACCACAAATTCAGATCAAAAGTATTCAGTCAAGACTCAAGAGTTAAAAATAAATAAACTGTGCCGAATATTGTAAGCAGAAATTACAACGGCCATGTGTAAAAGAGTAATCATCTGCCAGACTATAGGCATATTATTCAATCACATAACACAACATACTCTCTGGTAAGAAATTATTACTCATATGCTAAAAACCATGTTCTATGTTCAGCATAATCACGTCACATGGAATAGTTTGGAAACCTTAATTAATAAAACAAAATACAACAAGAGTACCTCATAGCACCAGCAACGAGCAACGTTCCGAATAGTATAGCCACCGCCACCTAGAAGCAAAAGTGGGACATTGAAGGATCTCATATATCTAACACACTCAGCATGACCTTTGATGGAAAGGTTGAAGCAGCCAAGCCTGTCCCCAGATAAAGAATCAGCACCACACTGGAGAACAACAGCACCAGGCCTAAAAATTTCCATCACCTTCCCAATGATGGGCTTGAACAAGTAATGGTAGCTCTCATCATCAATCCCATCGTCCAACGGAACATTAAGGGAGTAATACTTCCCTTTCCCGTACCCAATATCGCGAATGTCTCCTGTGCCTGGGAAATAATCCCCAAACTTATGAAATGAAACCGTCATGACCCTGTCCGTCGTGTAAAACGCCTCTTCAACACCATCTCCATGGTGAATATCAATGTCCACATACAAAACACGCTGTTTGGCAAAACATCAACACTTTCAATAACCCATTTCAGAATTCTACGAAACAAAACTAACCCAACATGAAAAAAGTCAAAACCTTTAGACTATGAAATCAGATAAACTAACCTCATGCAGCTTAAGAAGCTCTAAGATTGCCAGCACAATATCATTGACATAGCAAAACCCAGAAGCCTCACACTTCTTAGCATGGTGCAAACCACCAGCCCAATTGATAGAAATGTCACAGAAGCCATGGTTCAGTTTCACAGCACCACCAACAGATCCACCAGCATAAGTCTGGCAAAACGAATACAACCCATCAAAGACAGGGCAGTCCTCACCCACATTGAACCGCTTGAGTTGCCTCAGCTGGTCCTGCTGCGTTTCGGGGGTGATGTTTCGGAGAAACGAAACGTAATCGTCGGCGTGGAAGCGGCAGAGGTCCCGGTCTCGGGCCGGGTAGGGTTTGAGGACCTGCATATGTTGCAGAAGACCGTAGTGGGCGAGAAGGGCATGGGTCATGCGAATCCGGTGAGGCTTCATCGGGTGCCCTTGGCCATAATAGTAATTTCCCACTTCTGGGTCGTAGAAATAACTCACCTTTCTCTTCACTCCGTCTGGACCCGACGCTAAAGAGTTGCCGCCGGTGTCCATCTTCAGCCAAAACCCAGAGCTTTTTTCAGCCAAAAATCAGAGCTTTTTCTCAGATTGGTTTTTTGGGTTGTGGGTTTTTAAATCGGCGGGTAGGGCATCAAACGAAATTAATTTGCTTTTGTAAAGTTTGTTTACTTATATATGCTTTATATAACATCAAAAGGAGATAGCTTGGTTCTTTAAACTGAATTTTAGAGAGAGAGAGAGTGAGAATTTTAGAGAGAGAGAGAGAGAGAGAGAGAGTGAGAGTACCTGGTTGATGATTTGAGCGCTGCAAAGACAGAACAAGAAGAAGTGCTTCTGTTTGTTCTTTGTTGTTCCCTCCTCCTAAATTCGTAGGTTGTTGGTCTTCTTGTATTTAAAGTGCTCTAAACCAAATGGGAGTAGGATGCTTCTTCTAGCTTTCTATCAAAGAGTTTACTTGCAATTGAAAATAAATATTATTATTTTTTGGGTTCTAATATTTGTACTTTTCATATGTTGGTAAATAGAATAGGGTGAGTTAGAATTTTCATGTTAATATAGCACAAGGAAATTATGAATATTTATTATTTTTTGCCTCCAATGATAATAAGGACAAGGAGAATACCATCCATTAATATTACTTTCTAGTCTATATCTTATTTATTTTCTTTGAAAATCTAGCTTATATCTTATTACTATTAGTTGTTCCTTTCGTGTTTCTTTTCAAGGAATTTAATTATTATTATTATTATTTTTAAATATGGATTTTCCATATTAAAAAAAAAACGACTTTTTCAGTGAAAAACAAATAAAGAAAAGGTCTTTAGAAGTGTCCGGCCCGGCCCAATAAATAAATGGACTGCATTTCAGCGAAAAATGGACCTAGAAAATAGGAACCTGGCGTTTTAGAGCAATGAGGCTTGAAATTCCTTCTTGGGTTGATGAGCGCGGTCTTGAGGACAAACGTGAAACCCGGGTCAGAGAGGAGTCTGGGCGTTAATGACCAGTTGGGGAGTTTAGGAATAGTACAGGCGATGATCTAGACTATAGGGGAGGGAGTTTTGGACATAAGATCTCTAATTTGCAAGTTAATGCCCTTCTTCATTGGGGTAGACCCGTTGGCCTTTTGGGGTGGTGTTTGCCAACAAATAAGCTGTGATTGCTCTCTTTGATTCATTGTTACATTGTATCAGAGGGATCAAGAAAATCTAGACCAAAGAATTAATTTGGAGCTTGTGGTGCAAGAATGGCATGGGACTTCAGCACTTTTGCCTGACTTGCCTAATTCTAACCACAGTTCAAGGTTGAACCATTACACTTATGCTTTTGACTTTGTATACTTCATAAAGAATAAGATTTACTAGACCACAAGCATAGGATGGCTTACCTTCTCCCA